GGTACACCGAAATGGCCATCCCCTTCTACGAGCTGGCCGAGGTTCGTGTCGGCTACCAGTCCCAGAACATATCGTGCTTCTTCCGCATCATCGACCGCGACTCAGTGTGGGGCTATGAGCTCGGCCTCAAGTCCCTGATCCCGACCGTGCTCACCATCAGCATGCTGGGGTATCCTTTCATTTCGGCGGACATGATCGGGGGCAACTTTTTCCCGAACAAGACAGAAGGAGCTGTTGAAATCCCCGACCGGGAGCTGTACATCCGCTGGCTGGAGCTGTCGGCCTTCATGCCCTCCATGCAGTTCTCCATCCCACCCTGGCTCTACGACAAGGAGGTGATCGAGATTGCGCAGAGGTTCATGGAGCTGCACGAGTCCCTGGTCGCCCCCCTCCTGCTGGAGCTGGCCGGGGAGATCACGGACACGGGGGACCCCATCATACGGCCCATCTGGTGGATTTCCCCCAGCGACGAATCTGCCCACAAAATTGACTCCCAGTTCCTCATCGGGGACACGCTCATGGTGGCCCCCGTGCTGGAGCTGGGCAAACAAGAGCGTGACGTGTACCTCCCTGCCGGGAAATGGCGCAGTTACAAAGGGGAGCTGTTTGAGAAGACCCCGGTCCTGCTGACAGACTATCCCGTCGACCTGGATGAAGTTGCTTATTTCCTCTGGGTGTCTTAACGGGCTCCCCCATCGGCTTCCAACTTCGGGATAACCATGCCTTACCTTAGGGTTTTGAACCAATAATAATTCTAATTGCACACTTTATTTGGAGTGGGGAGGGGAGCGATGTGGAGAGGAATGGAGAAATGAATTGGACCTGCCTTGAGTATTTTTTTAATCAGTGGGACAAGTTCTGATTTGGGTTGACAGTTTCCTTAAATATCTCTTGATCAATGCAGAAGGAAAGATAACCGTGTCCTTCGACACATGCAGGAAGCGAAGACCTCGGTAGCGGTTCAAGAGGTGACTGTATCTTATGGCTGGTTGCGGTGCAGCAGGAATGTTCCTTGGATTCACTTGTTCTCCATTTGGAAATGTGCAATGCGCCCATACACCTCCCTCATCTATGGGGGAAAGCCCCGTAGTCTCCGTCTTTCTAAAAGGCTGCATGCTTCAAGATGAAGCAGGGATCCCATACTGGGGTTTGTCATCTCTCAGCTCACTGCCCCTGCCCAAATCCAGGGCAGACGCCAGGAAGTTTGATGCTCGTGAAGTGCAGCCTTTGGATTTGGTGCAAGTGCCATAGAGACAGCCCCGATCCCAGGGGTAAAGACAACTTTAAAGGGGAAGGGGGATACATCGAGCCTGGGAGGATTGCTACGGCACAGCCAGCCTTAAGTTTTATAATGTGGCAAATGACTTTTTCTTTTTTTAAAGAGGATAAAGCTAGCTATATTTTTTGCTTAGTCCAGTGTTGGACTGGACTGACAAATGCTCTATATATTCCCCCTTCTCTCGGGTACCAGGCAGGCCCAGGATACCCGACTTACCTGCAGGTATTTTAACTGTCCAGACTGCACATAACGGCAGCCACGTTGTTCCATCCCAGCCGGTTGCTAGCACCTGCTGTCAGGCTTTTTGCTTGCGTGACTCTGCTGCAAATGTTGCTCTTCATAGAGTGAGGACATTTATAACGTGTATCCTATTTTTGTAAGGAAGCAAAAAGGACTGCGGTGTTAATGTGCAGGGGTTTGGGAGTGAGGAGGTTTCTTCCCCCCTTTTTTTAAAGATGTGCTTGTAGCCCAGTTGCTGACAGAGGAATGGCCTGATGGCAAACAGTGCAGAGGTGCACGTGCAACTTTGCTAGAGCCTGCTGTGTTTGAGAGAGCAGCAAAGAGCTCCCACCATCATTTTTGCTGACAACCAGGCTACCAGCAGGGATAGAAAATGGATGTGTGCCCCAAAGTGCTGTGCCAGTCATCAGGCATTTCCTATAGTTTGCAAGGAAAAGTTCTCACACACAGTAAAATTAAGCTAATATACCAGAAATGTCTCAGGAATGAGTTAGGGAATATCACACTTGTATTGAAAATGCCTGTTCCCTTATCCCAGATATTTCGAAAGAGCCTGACCCTCAAGAGACCCTAAATGAAGTGGATCGGTGGATGGATGCTGAGTATTTCTGGAGCCTTCAAAATGACCTTGTGGATTCCTTTGAATAGAAAGGCACTCTTTTTTTAATAGAAAGCCACTCTTTTAAAATGAGATATTTGACAACCTGCGTCTTAAATTGAGTTAAAAAAAAAAAAGAAGGAAAAAGCTGTCCTATGCACCACGCAGAGGCTGTATCTAGGAAACGGCCTTTCTTTATTGCCTTGGGTTTCTTTTCTTAAGCTGAGGGTCAGCAGATTGTGGTGCATCTTAAATTCAAGGGGAGGTCTGATATTTGAAGGAACATGGTCGCGGCTGAACCACTCAGCTTTGCAACACCTCCCGCTTACCCCCGAGTGAAAGGCAGAGCCCCGCGGCCCGTCATCTTGGCGTCCTGCGCACTGGCCGGGCCCACCGGGATGGGGGCCTGGAGCTGGCCACAGAAGAGAGGAGATTGGCTTCGGCCACATGCTCCGTGCATCTGTCTCAGATTCAAATGTGTAAGGAGCACAGAGCAAGGCCTCCACTAGCAATTTATTGCAGAAAAATTTGAACATTGCCTGCTTCCATCTGTGTCCGCGATGGTCCGTTTCAGACTCTGAGAATATGCTGAAGCTACACCTCAGAGGTAACCCTCGGTCCATCTCCTGATCAACCGAGGCTTGTTGAACGGTTTATTCCCATTCATCTTGGGAGTCGTCGAGAAGAACGAGGCTTGGCCACAGAGTCCTGGCTCAGCTGAAGCTCTGAGATCCTGGTCACAAGTTTTAGGGTCTCTGTATAAGGTGCAAAGAGCTACCACTGGATGTAAAATATCTCTTCCCTTCCCTTTTTGTTGACTACAGCTTTGCATCATGACTCCCTGGGCGCTAGCCACTGTGGATGCATGCCGCGTTTGCAGAGGGCCTGGGCTGCACTGGTGGGGACGCAACTCCTTTTACCAGACTGTGAGTGTGCCTGAAACAACAACGTGACGGTTGTCACCAGTGCAGAAGAGCTGGAGGGCGGGAGGAAGCGGCAGGGTGAAGAGGGATTTCGGGGTTGGGGAGCACTTCCCGTTTCTTCTGGACAGCTGGAAAGTGCCACCAGGTCAATAGAAAGGTCAGAAGAGTCAGATACTGAAGGTCTCACTCTATACACGACTCCTCCGAGGGGGCTGAAGTCCGAAAGCACAACCCAGCGTCACCAGATTCCTGAATGAACCACAAGCTAAAACACCCTGATATAAAGACCGACTGAAACTCCAGCTCAGTTTACAGCTGCATCTCAGTTGTGTGGGTTGGCCAGGAAGTGTGGATGAGCTAAAAGATGTGAAGCTGGTGATGCCAGATCCTGCTGGCTGTGCCGAAGAGACCTATACGCTTCTTTGGGCACCGTGGGAAAGATCCGGGTGACAAACTGACCCGACAACTTGTCACAGGTTGAATACTTCCGCCTTCCCCTTGGACCTGCCCTTATCCTTCTCCCCTCGCCCTGGAAAGAAAGAGCTCTGTTACTGAAAGTTTAAATTCCTGCTCTTCATTTAACTAAACCTTTTTATGAATCAGTACACTTTATAGAGCCCCTTTATTTTTCTAAATGCCATTGCACTCATGAGAGTTTAACTCTAGCTGCTAGGAAGTTGCAGAGGAAATCACTGAAGATGTGTCATAGGCCACGAACCAGTGACATCCGTTATTTCAGACCCAGGCTTTGGAAAAGCCTCTTAACCCTGGTTGTGTCTAGCCTTGGCATTGCCACGCAGAATTCATTTCACTGGTCGTCTCCTCCAGACACTGCGAACAATACAGAAATGGCTCAGCTCCTTAACGGTGCTGAGCAACCCCCTTAGGACGTGATTGTCGAGCCCATTGTCTTGATTTTCACCTCCCTGTTCTGCCCTAGAGCACGTTGGCCCGTTGGAGATGATTCCTACCCAACTGCGCGCGGCTGCTGTCAGCGTGGCCTGTGATGTGAATTCTGTCGCAGCGTTAAAGAAGGACGAAGAGCTATCATTTCTTCTTGGCTGGCAGTGCCCCAAACAGGGTTGATTTCACTAAACACACACAAAATCTGCAAAAGAGATGGAGTGGGGTGGATTGGATGTGCCTTTTGCAACACAGGGCTCTAAAGCCAGTGCCCTCGCACCTGGTGCTGCAGAGCCACAGTTGGACGTGACACACGTGTGACTCCCTTCGAAGGCTGTTGGGTCAATTCAGGGTTGCAAGTCAGACGCTGATAAGTTTTGTGGTGTTTTTAACCGCTTCTCTAACTCTTAATTCCTTCCCTACTCCATTGTGCACGGTTATCATTTATACAGACCTTCAGGAGAACAAAGGGAAGTCTAACAATGCCTGTCCATCTGCCACAACGCAGTGGGAAGAGTCTCGTGAGCGGTGACTACCTAGGTTTTCGGCCTTGTCTGTGTAACGGGCAGTCCTGGCCACTGTCAGACGGCCGGTGTGTTTGTGTGCACACTCAGGGCTTCTGTCCGCAACATGCAGCCTCCGTGCCCCAGCGTGGGAGGAGGATCACGGCAGCCGGCAGAAGCGCGGGAGTCTGCGTGTGCCTTCTGCTGTCTGCTGGGCTTTCGCCGAAGCTTCCTCCCTTAGGCAGAGGCAGAGTTTTGCATGGCGGTGTTGAGTGTGGACACTCTCCGTCTTAGTAGCCAGTCTTGTGCTAGATCGGGCCGGAGGTGACTTTTACACCAAGATTTCCAGTCCAAGTCCTTCAGGCCCTTTTAGCTACTGTCTGTGGAACATGCACAGCAGCTTCATAGAGAAACTAGTTGTTTTCTCCCCCACTTTTATTCTTTCAAGTATTAGGAGACTGAGCCTAATGGCCCATCCCGCAGTACAGAGCACTGGGGGTGGGAATCTCCCTACGTTTGAACAGAAAAGACCCGTGTTCAGGAGCGGCATGTGGAAGGTCGCTCTCTCTCCTGGGGTCAGGGCGCACTCCCTTTGCTATCACAGGCACTGCAAGGGAGATGGGCACTGCCCCTAGCTCCCTTGTCGTGAATATTGGGTAGCTCCCCAGTGGAGTCCAAGTGATGCAAACAGGTCTAATGTGCTCATGAGTGCCCGGGTCACTCTCCCTTTCAGCCTCTGCTCTCTGGAGATGGGCATGAGGGACATGGCTCGGACCCAGTGCATGGCAGATAAACTTTTATAGTGTTGCCCAGAGAATGCTCCACAGCCCAGATCCGAAAGGGGTATAGGCATGGATATGGTTCCTGTGGTTAACTAAGCATGGCCATGTTTCTGCATTGCCATAATGCTGGGACAGTCCAGAAAAATCACCCCAAACTCCCGCTGATTTACACCCCAAGGGAAGGTTTGCTTGACCAGGGCAAGCGCCACAGGCAGACTGGCTGCTGGGAAAAGAGCATCAGTATTTGTGGTTACAGGGACAGATGGCTCAGCGGTGCCAGCAACATGTGCACGTCTGCTGGCAGGCTGGCTGCCGAATAGGGGTATTAACAGGCAGAGCAGACCATAAGGGAAGGACCTGCACAGAGCCCTGTACTTCCAGAGCCCAATTTTCCTCACCCCTCCATCCTGAGACTGCCTTGTTCCAGATGGATGTTGCTAACTCTAACCAAATCTGGAGGGAAACCTTGGCTTTTTGTTTAAAGTTGATTTTTTTTATTTTTTTTTTTATTTTTATTTTTTTTTTTAGTATCGATGGGGTCATACAATCAACGCTGTATCATGCTTCAAACCGCTCTGTTTGGAATAAAAGACACTTTCACATGCTGGGCTTCTCTCCGTGCTTCCCCGGGAGGGGTGGTCGTCCCCGCAGCCTTGCTGCTGTCTCCTGGGAGGGTTGGCGCTGTAGCTGCCTGGGCTCCTGTCTAACTTGCTTTTCAAAGACGTCGGCATGCTTGGAAGTGAGTCTCCGGCTCCCAGCCTCTCCCAGCCTTGGCGTCCCGTTCGTTCACTGGCCGGACTGCTTCAGAGCACTGGATCGGCTTCTTTCCTCTGCACATCAGCAGGAAGGGGACGGGGATCCCAGACTCAGGGGCCATTTCCTTGCAAATCATCAACTTCTGGGTGCTGCTTACCAGATTTTGGAGGCCTGGGTCTATCGGGTCCGTGTGTCCAAGGCTGTGTCTGCACCCAAGAGCCCTTGATTTGTATAGAGTAAGGGTGTCAAACTGGTTTGCACCCCCCAGGCCAGATTTGGACTGCAGGGCTCCTTACCAGCTTCTTCCAGACCCACCTCCGGCCACGGAGAGCCATAGGGATTAATGCAGCGGTCGCTCACCCTGCTGCTGAAACACCACCCCAACAGGGCTCCACACCCCAGCTTCTGGTGGCAGGCTTCACCTCCCGAATTCGCAACCCCTCCAGGGGCCTGCAAGCCAGATGACATTGCTCCACAGGCAGGGCCCAGCCCGCATATTTGATGCCCCGGATGTGGAGGGGTTTTTTGCCCTCCTACCCTTCTTTTCCTGCTTTCAATGGCGGGCACCTTCTACCCTTCTCAGCAAGGTAGGCAAGCACATTGCACGGCCCTACAGGCAACCTCCAGGCTACTTAACAGGGGGAGAAAGGCAAGCAAGCAGCAGTGCAGAAGGAAACCCAGTTCAACCACTTCACCATCCTCCTTCCAAGCCCTTCTTAGACCTGCCCTTTGCTGTGCTGCCTGCAAACCCTGGACATCACTTGTCGCTGGTGCACGGTGCCTATAGATAAAGCCACCAATTGGGCCAGCACCATCCTGACCCAGGTGGCTTCCCTGTGCTCCCCCACCTCTTTGCAGCCACGTGTGACAGCTGAACTTGAGGCTCCCTGGGGCAGGGACTGTCAATTCGGTGTTGGCATCTTGCACAACAGGCTCCTCGCTGGCGACTGGAGTCCCTAGGGCCTGATCCAGCACAACCAGCATGAAACACAGGAGGGAGATCCGAGGGGGAGCTGAGTCTTGAGGCTACTGGTCTGAGGAGGGGTGTTTCCTTCTCTTCCTTCTCCCTAGCCAGTGTCATAGAAATCATAGAGAAGCAGGGCTGCAAGGGACCTCCATCGGTCATCTAGTCTGGTGGTCTCCAAACTTTTTTGAGCACGCACCCCTATCAGTAAAAAATTTTTGAGTGCGCACCCCCAATATATGTATATTTATAGAAATAGAAATACAAGTTCTAATATTTCCTTCCCGCACCCCAATGGGTTGTCTTGCGCACCCCCTGGGGGGTGTGCACCCCACTTTGGAGACCACTGCTCTAGTCCAGCCCCCTGCCTGAGGCAGGATCAGCCCTGTCCAAACCATCTCAGACAAACCCATTGGCCAACCTCTTACTGAAACTACTGACACAAGACATCACACCCAGCCCTGCCATAGGGAAAGCAGGGGGACTGCGGCAGCCAACGTCCTGCTGCTGCAAAAGGTGGTCAATATATGCACGAGAAATCCCAGGTAGAGGCCATGCCTCCCTCTGCAGAGGAAGGCAACCCCCACCCCGACCACCACCACCAGTCTGTACCAGTCTGACCGGGGGGAAATTCCTTCCTGACCCCAAATGCAGCATAGGTCTGACCCTGAGCAGAGGGGCAAGACCCTCTAGCCAGGACCCTCCAGGTCTGAGGCCCAGCAGGAGCACTGGCCCAGTCCCCATCCCCAGCTTGGGCTGCAGCAGCACCCAGTGCCTTTGAGGAAGGCTTAAAAACTCGCTCTGACGCATGAAGCAGCAAGGTGAAGGGGGGGCAGAATTCCCTCCCAGCCCCACGCAGCAACCAGCACAGCCCAGAAACCTGGGTCATCCCCATAGCAGAGCACAGGCATCGTTGCACCCAGATCATCGCTGCCCAGTGGCTGCCCAGCCTCTTAAACACCTCCGGTGATGGAGAGTCCACGGCTTCCCCTGGGCAGTATCCTGTCCCACGTACGTGGCGTCACGCTGTGCAGGGCAGCAGGGTGGGTCATGGAAGTGGGAGAGCCTGAATTCATGCCCCCAGCGGGCACTGGTGGGAACATGTTTGCCAGCTTCCTCGGAGCAGGATGCACCAGGAACGGCTGCACACCTACCTAGCCCCTGGCAGCTTTGGGCTAAAGGCTTGGGAGATTTGGGTGCCTGCCAACCCTCATGAGCCTTCTGCTTGCTTGGGCCGGGAGTATCTGTGCCCCTGTGTGGAGCGCAGGAAGGTGGGGACAGCTGGTACCTGCAGCTTCTTCCACCCCCCAAACCAACCAGCTCTGCACACCTTTCTAGTGATCTACTGAGCAACCAGAGGGATCTGGGGGTAGAGTCTAAATGGGGCAAGAAAGGCTGCGGGAGAGCAAGAGCAGCTGTAGGCACCGGTTCAGCTCAGTCTCCCTTGCTAGGAGACAGGTGCTGGGTGGGCAGCATGGGGGACGGTGCCTTTAAGAGACCCAGTGATGCATGCAGGGGACCACAGTGATGATTGCAGGTAAATCATCCAGCCCCATCATGCAGGGAGATGCTGCATTCGAGAAATGCCCTTTGATCCTGATGCTCTGCAACAGGTTAATTTTCAAGCCTTAGGCTCCTATCTTATTTACACTGGTCTAACCCCTGAGGAACTGTTTGCCCAATGCAGAATATGACCTTTTACACCCAGCGTTTTAATGAGAGCCAGGCCCGTTTGCTGGGCCTTATGGTTTTGCTGAGGCATGAATATTGTTTCCTGAGGTATTTGGCTGTGGGAAATGTTTCTTGCTAATTAAAAACCCCAATGGCAGAGCAGAGGAGCCGTGAATGATTTTTACCAGCGAGTCCAGGTGATTTTTCAGCTAAGTGATCAGCACCAATAAACAAGCACAAAGCAGGAAGTTAATGATCTGCAAATCAAGGTAGGGTCCCAGGAGGGCTCTGCATAAATACCCCTACCCTAAAATCGCAACGGGGTGAACTTTTTGGATAAGAGCAGGACAACGAAGAGAACTTGCCAAAATCTCGTAGCAAAAATCACAGACAAGGAGGGTGGCAGGGAGCTTAGGAGGTCACATCTAGTCCAACCCCCTGCTGCAAGCAGGACCAGCCCCAACTACATCACCCCAACCAAGACTTTGTCTGCCTGGGTCTTAAACACCTCCAAGGATGGAGACCACCTCTGGTCTGAAACCTGCTCCAGTGCTTCACCACCCTCCAATGAAGAATCCCACTAGCAAAAAGATGTCATTAAAAAGGAAAAGAAATCCCCCAGATGTTTCATAGCATGGAGAGCTCATAATTGTCATCATGCCTGTCGCTTAGAAAGGCCTTAACGCAGCTCGCTCAGCACAGAGCTGCAGCCACCTCTTAGCTGGACCTGAGCAGCTGAGACAGCAACACCACACGCCACGTGGGACAGAAACTGAAGCTCTGCCCAGTTGAAACCGCAGAGGGAGGTCAAGAAAGCAGAGTGGAAACCCCCCCCAGGGCCCAAGCTGGAGTTTGCAGCTAATAATATACGCGTGCCACAAGCTCTTTAATGACCCCAAATTGGCAGGACCTCAGTCCTGTGTCCAGTGCATCCATTATTAGCACTGCAGCTGCCTCGAGGGACCCTACCGTGGTATGTGCTGTACAAAAGGAGCCCTTCCCCAGCCCATGATCTAAACAGACCGACCAGACTACGGGCAGGGGGTGGGCACACAGTGACTTGAGGCCACCCAGGAGGTCTGTGGATGGGTCAGGATTCGTGCCCAGGTGCCAGGCTGAATCTCTATGCACCAGCCCCACGGCCAGTCTGCACCCTCCAAAGGCAGCGCCTCCAAAGCCGCTGGGCATCGCTAGCGCCGCTTTTCCTCGGATGTGCAGCTCCCAGCAGCAGCTGCCTGCGCTGAAGGGGAGTTCCTCTGATCAAAGAGCGTGGGTAGACACCGCTTTTCCTCTGCTCGCAGGAAGTCTGTGGCAGGTATCAAAAGGAAAGGCAGTATATTTAGCCCTGCGCTGAGCTCTGCTTTGCTTTCATCTCCCCAGATAAAAGGCCGCGGGGGGAGCATTTTGCCCCTCGCTCTCACGTGTGCAATGCTGCTGTGCTGGCTCTGCTGTCTTTGCACTGTGCTTTCACTGGTGTCCAGAAAACTGTTTTCCCCTTTGCTCCAGCTCCCGTCCCCAGTCCCAGCACGCATTCAGCCAGCTCCTAGCACGCTTCAGTCCTGGCCGGTGACCCGGTTTCCTAGGCATTCTGGTAACATAAATAATAATAATGAGTATGTAGCTGGTCCTTTGATCCAAGACTTGGGTTTTGAGGCTTGTTCCTCTCTGGCTGCAGCACAGCAGCTGATACAAGGCCAGATTTTCTGGAGGGCAAGGACCAGGATCTAGTAAGGTGTCTGGAGACAGGCGCCGAATGTGGGGGCTGAGCAGGGCAGCAGGGGGGCAGGGCAATAGAAAGGATCCTGGTGTGGGTGTGGGAGATGGTCCTCAGCCCGGAGGCAACGGCAACTTGCTCCTGGCCATGTGGTGGACAATTCAGGAGCGTGCCTTTGCCAATGTGGCCCTGGACGTACAGGCCAGGTGAAATGAGTTGGCCTATCCTGGACCATCTGAATGGGAGAGCCGGGGCGTTTCTAAACACATCGCTGGCTCCAAAAACCCCTGCTGCGATGGGGCTAGTGACGGGGAGGAGCGGGGGAGCCTGCACCAGGCACAAAACATCTGTAGGCTGCAGATGGCTGACGGTCCGAGATCTGCACGACTGAGATGTGGTGAATAGCTCCAGGAGGAAGGAGTAGGTCCTGGTAGTGTCGGGTCAGCTCTTGCCCTTGGTCTCTCTCGTCCATCTGCCACCAAGGCCTCATCATACGCCATGGCACCACTGGGGACACGTCCGTGCTCGGGGTCCCAGGACCTGCTATGAATATTGCATTTCTTCAGACTGGCCTGCAAGCTGGCTTTGGGTCTCTTTTTTGGTCCACCTCTAGAGCAGCGGCCCACCAGTGAATTGGGAGTATGGGACCTGTTTCAGGAGCAGGTGGTCAGGCATCCTCGGGACCTGTCCCATCCGGTGGAGCTGGTGCCATGTAAACCTGGCTTTGATGCTGGTGGTGCTTGCTCTTTTGTCCTTCTAATTAACACAGTTTCCAATGAAATCACTGATGGTGACAATCGAAGCTTTGAAGTGTTGCTGATATGTCATCCAAGTATCCCACCCGTACAAAAGGGTGGGGATGACAAACTTCTTGTAGACAAGACGTTTGGTTTGGGTCCTGAGGTCATGATCAGGATCCCTGCCAGGGGACACACCTCGGACAAAGCACTTAACATCTGAACGTCCCATTGGGCACCTTCCTATATTAGGTGCCTACATACCTATAAAACCGGTGCCCTTTCTATCGCTTTACCGCACTTCCCTTTCTGGACCATCTGCCAGAGAAAAAAGCCATGCAGTCCCTAATATCCAGCCAGGCCATAGCAATCCAACCAGCAGGCAAAGGAGGAGCTATTGCCATCCTCAGCCATGGAGACTACAGCGGTGAGGCTAACAGCCAACTCTCAGGCACCAACTACTGTGAAGAATTAGGAGAGGATCCCACACCCGCATTCAACACAGGGGGAAAAAGCCGCTTGTCTTGGATTCGGCTGCAAGAGGTGTGATGGGAGGCAGTGACTGTGGCTCTGGTTTGGGGTTGGAAGTTGGGCTGCAGACGCTGCTCTCTCTGCCGCCTGCCCCTGCACCCTTCCCATCGCAGCGCTGGTCCTGCTCCAGCCCAGGATATGAAGAACAGGGCACATACCTCCCCCAAACCCGCAGTCACTCCTGCCCCGCAATTTGTGACCTTGCAAGAGCCCCTTAACCTCGCCCAACTCAGCAGAAGTAAACTCCCTGCTAAACAACAGGCACCTAATGGGACCCATCCCTAGCTCAGCAAGAAGTGCCAGACCTTCCACAACCATCAGTCCCCACAACAAAACCCTCAGGTTATTCGCATCATATACACCAGTGGTCTCCAACCTTTTTCAGTGGGAGATCACCTTTGGCGTTTAAAAGCAACCCAAGATCTACCCTCGCCGCCCAGCAGGTAAGTCTGCGGGGAGGGGAGGTGGGAGCAGATCGAGAAGAAATTATTTGGGGGCGCACCTCCCCAGCAGGTAGGTCCCACCCAGCCGGGGCCCCACTCGACTTACCCCTGCTCCTGCCTCTGCAGCACTGCCCCTCACTGCAGGGGGCCTCTATCGAGCGCCCATCCCTTCCCTCCCCCACAGATGGACCTGCTGGGCTGGGGCATGCACACACATGCACGCGGGCACTTTGCCTCCACGGGGCTTCAAAACCTCCAAGGATGGAGACTGCACCACCTCTCTACGGAGCCTGGCCCAGTGCTTCACCGCCCTCCTTCTGACAATTTTTTTCCTAATATCCAACCTCAACTTCCCTTGCTGCAACTTGAGCCCATTGCTCCTTGTCCTGTCGTCTGCCCCCAAGGAGACCAGTTTATTGCACTCTAAGCACCAGGGACTTAATATAGATAATGACTTCATGGTCCTTTATAATCTTCCTGATACTTGCTAACCCCTGCTCTTTACAGATGATAATAACCCTGCTTAACAAGTGTTCGTCCAATTTGCCGTTCAGCTCAGCTGTGTCTGCTTGTCTCAGAGGCGTGAGGAATGGTATTGTGGTCCCCGAAATCATGGCTGTGTTCATATGAACCATGCAGTCGTTCCAATATAAGGTGTCGCCCACAAGCAGTCTTGCCCCTCCGTCCATACAGTTTTGCCCTTGCCAAGGACATATATTGCAGGCTTGCCAGGAGGAGAAATGCACTGAAGGCCAAGATATTTTCAGGGCTGTATTCGGTAGTTGTGTTGGTCTGAGACAAAATGAAATGCAAAAACTCTCCAACTCTTGGTTCAGAGATCAGGAAATTTGAAGTAGTGCTATAGACAAGGGGACAGGCTTCTGAGTCCCGAAACCTGTGTCACTTTTTTAAAACATCAAATTGATTTGCTCTTTTTTAGGAAATCTGGAAGTCAAGGGCAGAGGTGCAGGAGACGCACGACAGCATTTCTACGTTCAACGAGCGCCGCGGCCACGTTTCCCAGCTCCGGGCTGCTTCTGTTGGTGACAGCGGAGCAGATTTCCCATATAAGCCTTCATTTACCTAGGATGCTGAGCTACAATTCCTCCTTTGGACCTTAGGAAGCCACCATAATCGCTGTAAGGGTGAATTTGGGGAGTCATGGACTCAGCAGCGGGATGGAGGAAGAGCCGAAAAGTCTGGAGAGCTCTGCCTACCTGGCAGGGAGATGGGGGGGACTTTTGTTGTTTAGTTAGTACCCGTCTGGCTGCTTTGTTTTCTCAAGTTCAGGATTGTGGGGCCTTTCCACTGTAAAAGATTTCCTTGCTAATACAGAGTCTTGTAAGTGCTTCGGTGTAGGGAAGTATAGCCTGTTCAGAGCAAGCAGGGAAAGTGTATTAGCTTTCTCAGGTTCCTGGATGGGAATTCAAACTATTTCCATTATTTGCCCAGAAGGAACCCAGAGGTCCCAGGTAGGTCTTTATTACTGCCATTAACCAGCGGGCAGAAGGTTTGCATATGTTTAATGCCATAAGAAAAAGAAAGCCCAGAAATGCAGCAGAGGCTCTCTGCATAGCAGAGCCTGGGGCTAGATCATGCTAAAGAAGATCTCTTGCTTGGGAAAAACTGTTTTGTCCAAGCCCCCCCACAAAAAAAAGAAATCCCATTGCGTTGAAATTACCACGTCCTGTTTGTTGTGTTGTGTCCGATTTTTCTTCTGCCATAAGAAACGTATCCCAACAATGATATCTGGGTTCCAGCACAGCGATAGTGAACATCTTGTTGCTACTATGAGATGTGCAATAAGTACAGTGCTTTGCACTAGCAAGGATTCACTTGGGGACCCAGAACTACCACTAAAAAAAGGCCGATACAGCCTCTGGGATGCATTGATAACAGAGATCCCAGGCAGGATATACCCAGAATACGATCAGGTTTGGTCACTTCCACTGGACTGGGAAGAATGTGTCTTCCCAACCCTTGCCCTGTCCCCTGCCGGTATTTCAATATCTTTCCAACTCGACAATGGTGAGGACAAGCAGGACAGCATTTCACAGAAAGTTTATTTCACAGGAAGGCATACGGAGCGGGGATTGCTCTTCCAGAGGATAAAGGCGTATGTCTTAGAGAACATTACGTTTGTCGCCATAATCCCCCACTCATTTATAGCGCGGGACATCATTAGATCGAATGGCACAGCATCACTATCCCCACTTCACAAGTGGGGAAACTGAGGCACAGGCAGGGATGTTCCTGTCTTGAGCGGAGAGGTGGCCAAGTTGGTCTCCTGAGGTCCCTTTGCATGCCCAAGGTCAGTGGCAAAGCCTGGAACGACGCCGGTCTCGTGAGTCCTGCAGCAGCTCTCTCGCGCGTATAAGAAATGAAATCCATGAACTCGGAGTCTGCACAAGTTTCAAGCACATCCTTCCAGCCCACTGGTTTGGGGGCTAAATCTCCAACGTCAGTAAAATGCAGGCGCGGATTACATGGGTTAACAAATTGGCACCAGAGCTAGGCTTGCTGGGTTTCTGTAGGTAGATCAGTCAGTAATCTCCCCCAGCGGAGGGCAAGATGTTAGTGACTGATGTCAACCTTAACTCCTCAATGCTGAGATTGCTGGGTTTGCAGCCAGCTGCCACAGCTCTGCCACCCTTTGCAAACCTGTCACACGAGCTGGTGGCAGGAGTCTCTGTCTCTGCAGGAGTATCGCATGACTCATACTTAAAAATTATTCTGCTGTAAGCAATGCCAGCACCAAGATCAAAGCCACTTTATACTGCAAAAAAATAAAATTGAATCAGCAGGACGACAGAGTCACCACCCAACCCACACAATGTCCTTTAAAGGAAAACAGTGTCCGAGTCATTGCTCTCTGAGAACATAATGAGCAGAATCTGTGCTTTCCTTATGCTGTACGTATAAATGATACCAAGACCGAGATGCTCAAGCTTTAGGAAGGGACATTTTAAGTGACAAAATGCTTGTAAAAAGATTGCGGTGTGCCCAGATTATTACCATTCAGAAGTCGCCCTGTGCAATGGTTATTGCTATCCATAATAACATAGCATGGGGTATTGATCTCAGGACATAAAATGCTTCCTTGGTCATAAAGTTCAATAGCCATTGCAGAGCTTGAAGCTGATGGGGGAGCCTGTTAAGACACCCAGAGGAAATAAGCAACTTCATCCAGGTCGACGGGATAGTCTGTCAGCAGGACCGGGGTCTTCTCAAACAGCTCCCCTTTGTAACTGCGCCATTTCCCGGCGGGGAGGTACACGTCACGCTCTTGTTTGCCCAGCTCCAGCACGGGGGCCACCATGAGCGTGTCCCCGATGAGGAACTGGGAGTCAATTTTGTGGGCAGATTCGTCGCTGGGGGAAATCCACCAGATGGGCCGTATGATGGGGTCCCCCGTGTCCGTGATCTCCCCGGCCAGCTCCAGCAGGAGGGGGGCGACCAGGGACTCGTGCAGCTCCATGAACCTCTGCGCAATCTCGATCACCTCCTTGTCGTAGAGCCAGGGTGGGATGGAGAACTGCATGGAGGGCATGAAGGCCGACAGCTCCAGCCAGCGGATGTACAGCTCCCGGTCGGGGATTTCAACAGCCCCTTCTGTCTTGTTCGGGAGGAAATTCCCCCCGATCATGTCCGGGAGAATGAAAGGATACCCCAGCATGCTGATGGTGAGCACGGTCGGGATCAGGGACTTGAGGCCGAGCTCGTAGCCCCACACTGAGTCGCGGTCGATGATGCGGAAGAAGCACGATATGTTCTGGGACTGGTAGCCGACACGAACCTCGGCCAGCTCGTAGAAGGGGATGGCCATTTCGGTGTACCGGCGGGACCAGATGCTGGGGTCCGACAAGGGCCGGAAGGTGCTGAACTGCTTCGGGAGGTAGCTCGTCTCTCCGGCGTCGAACTTAAAGGACGAGATGCCATACTTGGAGCGCAGCTGCCTCAGGTGGCTCTGAAACCACTCCCTGGCCGCCGGGTTGGTGAAGTCCAGGATGGCCCCGATGCCGTTCCACCACTCCACCATCGCGGGGAGCCTCCCCGTCGGCTCCTTGATGAACAGCTGCCTCTCTATCCCCACGCCAAAATTGGAGGAGTTGTAGTTGATGAAGGGATGAGTCCACAGGGTCACTTTAAACCCCTCTTCTTTTAGTTTCTTGAACATTTCCGTCACGTTGGGGAATTTCTGAGGATCAAAGTCAAAGTCGCCATAAGCCTGCGTGTAGGTGTCAT